GGCCCTGGACTTTTTTTGGTTGGAAGGCTTTTGATGACTGCTTCTATTTCATTGTGGGTTATAGGTCTATTTAAGTTGTTTGTCTGTTCTTGATTTAATTTTGGTAAGTGATAGTTATCCAGAAACTTGTCCATTTCCTTTGAATTTTCAATTTTTGTGGAATACAGATTTTCAAAGTATGACCTGAAAATTGACTGGATTTCCTCTGTGTCTGTTGTTATGTTCCCCTTTTTGTTTCTGATTTTGTTAATTTGCATGTTCTCTCTGTGCTTTTTCATTAATTTGGATAAAGGTTTGTCTATCTTGTTGATTTTCTCAAAAAACCAACTCTTTGTTGCATTGATTTTTTGTATTGTTTTCCTGGTTTTTATTTTGTTGATTTCAGCCCTCAAGTTGATTATTTCCTGGCGTCTACTCCTGCGGGTGAATTCGCTTCTCTCTGTGCTAAGGTTTTCAGTTGGGCTGTTAATTCTCTTATGTGACTATCCTCTGTTTTCTTCATATGGGCACTTAGTGCAATGAACTTCCCTCGTAGCACTGCTTTCAAGGTGTCCTATAAGTTTGGGTATGTTGTATCCTCATTGTTGTTGAATATTAGAAAGTCTTTAATTTCTTTCTTTATTTTTTCTTTGACCCAGGAGTGGTGCAATTGCACATTGTTCAGTTTCCATGAGTTTGCAGGATTTCTGCTATTTGTGTTGTTGTTGAATTCCAATTTTAAAGCATGGTGGTCCGATAAGATACAGGGGACTATTCCTATTCTCTCGTATCTGTTGAGGTTTGTTATGTCTCCTAGTATGTGGTCGATTTTAGAGAAGGTTCCATGTGGAGCAGAGAAGAAGGTATATTCTTTTGTCTTTGGATGGAATGTTCTATAGATGTCTGTTAACCCCAGTTGAGACATAACTTCTGTTAATTCTTTTGTTTCTTTGTTGAGTTTCTGATTTGTGGTCCTGTCTAGTGTTGAGAGTGGTGTATTGAAGTCTCCCACTATAAGTGTGTGAGGTTTCACAAAGACATAACTAAGAAAGAAAACTACAGACCAATATCCCTGATGAACATCGATGCAAAAATACTCAATAAAATACTGGCAAACCAAATTCAAGAATACATCAGAGAAATCATCCACTATGACCAAGTAGGCTTCATACCTGGATTGCAGGGATGGTTTAACACGCGAAAATCTATCAACGTGATCCACCATATAAACAAACAGAAAAAGAAAAACCATATTATTATCTCCCTTGATGCAGAAAAAGCCTTCGACAAAATTCAACACCCTTTTATGATAAAGGTATTGGAGAGGTCAGGGATAACAGGAACATACCTAAACATAATAAGAGCAATATACAGCAAACCAACTGCCAACATCAAACTGAATGGAGGGAAACTTAAGCCAATTCCTCTAAAATCAGGAACAAAAAACGCTGTCCTCTCTCTCCATATCTCTTCAATATCATACTAGAAGTTCTAGCTAGTGCTATAAGACAACAAAAGGAGGTCAAGGGGATCCAAATTGGAAAGGAAGAAGTCAAACTGTCTCTATTTGCCGATGATATGATAGTTTACATAAGCGACCCAATAAACTCTACCAGGGAACTCCTACAGCTGATAAACACTTTCAGCAAACAAGCAGGATACAAGATAAACTCAAAAAAATCAGTAGCCCTACTTTTTTCAGACGACAAAGAGGCAGAGAAAGAAATCAGAGAAACATCACCCTTTACAATAGCCACAAGCAACATAAAGTATCTTGGTGTAATGCTTACCAAACAAGTAAAAGACCTATATAATAAGAACTTTGTGACTCTAAAGAAAGAAATTAAAGAAGATACCAGAAAATGGAAAGATCTCCCATGCTCTTGGTTAGGTAAGATTAACATAGTAAAAATGGCAATGTTACCAAAAGCAATCTACAGATTCAATGCAATCTCCATTAAAATTCCACCACAATTCTTCACCGATCTTGAAAGGATAATAATCAACTTTATATGGAAAAACAAAAGACCCAGGATAGCCAAAACAACCCTATACAATAAAAGAACTTCAGGAGGCATCACCATTCCTGACTTTAAGCTCTACTACAGAGCTATAGTTCTGAAAAGAGCCTGGTATTGGCATAAAAATAGACAGGTAGACCAATGGAATCGAATTGAAAATCCTGATATTAATCCACGCACCTATGAACACCTGATTTTCGACAAAACAGCTAAAATTATACAATGGGGCGAGGACAGCATCTTCAACAAATGGTGATGGCACAATTGGATGAGGGTGTGTAGAAGACTGCAGATAGACCCATGTCTGTCGCCATGCACAAAACTCAAGTCCAAATGGATCAAAGACCTCAACATCAATCCAGCCACATTGAACCTCTTAGAAGAGAAAGTAGGAGGTACCCTTGAACAAATTGGTATAGGAGACCGCTTCTTAAACATAACTCCAGGGGCACAGACACTGAAAGAAACAATTAATAAATGGGACCTCTTCAAACTTAGAAGCTTCTGTAAGGCAAAGGACACAGTCGACAAGACCAAACAGCAGCCCACAGACTGGGAAAAGATTTTCACCAATCCTATATCTGACAAAGGGCTGATCTCCAAAATACACAAAGAACTCAAGAAACTAGTCAACAAAACACCAAATAATCTTATTAAAAAATGGGGTACAGAACTGAAGAAAGAATTCTCAATGGAGGAAATCAAAAAGGCTGAAAGACACTTAAGAAAATGCTCCACATCCTTAGCTATCAGGGAAATGCAAATCAAAACAACTTTGAGATACCATCTTACCCCTGCCAGAATGGCTAAAATTAGAAACACTAGTGATGACTTATGTTGGAGAGGATGTGGAGAAAGTGGAACACTCCTCCACTGCTGGTGGGAGTGCAAACTCATACAGCCATTTTGGAGATCAGTATGGCGGTTCCTCAGGAAAATGGGAATTAGTTTACCACAGGACCCGGCAATCCCCCTCTTAGGCATATACCCAAATGATACACATCCATGCAACAAAGACATCTTTTCAACTATGTTCATAGCAGCACTATTTGTAATAGCAAGAACCTGGAAGCAACCTAGATGCCCCTCAATTGAAGAATGGTTAATGAAGATGTGGCACATCTACACAATGGAATACTACTTTGCAGAAAAAAATAATGGTATCTTGAAATTCGCAGGCAAGTGGATGGCACTTGAAGAAACCATCCTGAATGAGGTAACCCAGTCACAAAAAGAGGAACACAGTATGTACTCACTCATATATGGATTTTAGACCTAGATCAAATGATCACCAGCCTATAATTCACATCACCAGACGAACTAGGATACAAGGTGTATTCTAAGAGATTCATATAAAGTCCCTCACAGAACTGGGAAGGGACAAGTCCCCCAGAGCTCAGGTGAAGTGGGGGAGGACAGCGAATGGAGAGAGAAGTAGGAGAAAATGAGGGGGAGGAAAGGAAAACCTGTGCAACCAGGAAGATTGAGCCTGGTTAGGAATAGAAGATAGGAGAGAGAGAGAGAGAGACAGAGAGAGAGAGAGAGAGAGAGAGAGAGAGAGAGAGAGAACATAAAAGAGGGAGCCAATATTGGTTTGAAGATAAAATTGAACACAAAGAAAGGTCTAGAGAACTACAAGACTGCTCCCAACTAACAATCTCAGCTTCCGTGGAAAGGCTATCATAAATGCCCTTCCCGAAGAGTGTGATCAACAACTAACTTATCCATGGAGCCCTCAACTAATGCCTGTTGAAAATAGGAGCAAACACCCATACATAAACACTGAGTCGAACTAGAACCCAGAAGCAGATGGAGAGGACAAGACCATGCGGCAGAAGCACATAGCGACAGCTTACCTGAACAAGGAGGAGCTAAGGGCCACCAGAATGATAGCTGGGAAGCCAGCATGGGACTGACTCAGGCCCCCCTGAATATGGGTCTCAGCCAGAAGGACTGAGCAGTCTAAGAGACCTCAGACAGTGGAGCCAGGATGTATCCCTGGTGCACAAAAGGACTTTGCGAACATATCCCCCATGGAGGGATAACTGCCTTAATCTAGAGACAGGAGAGAAGCCCTAGTCCCTACTTCACAGGACCTGTCAGATCTACATGACCCCAACTGGATGGCATTCCCCTACATATGGAATTGGGGTGGGGGGATGGGAGGGGAGGGTGTTTAGAGTGCATGTGAGAGGGCAGAGAGGGTAAAAGGGAGGGAAGGAAGGAGTGAGGGCTGGGGGGGGAGGGAGGGAGGGAGAGGGAACTGGGATCGACATGTAAAATAATAAATTAAATTAAAAAAAATGCTTTGACTCCAAAATTTAAGTTGAAGGACAAGTTACTGGGGGAAAGGATTTCTATTTTTGTTTCCACAGAAAATGAAAAGATGTGGATTCCTTCCAGACTAATGTGGCTTGATCCCGCCAGGCTGCCTGAAACAGAGTACAAGCTGATCCTACATTCAAAACAGCTGTACGAAACAGCCCTACAGACTACAGCCAGGATATCTGAATCTTCTTCGAATCCCCCATGACAGTGCCCCTTACCAGCAGGAAGTAGTTTGGAAAGAACGATGCCCAAATTCCCAAATATTGTGTATAAATGTTTGTTTTCATTTAATTGGACTTTGTTATATAAAATTAAATAAAAAAAAGGAAAAAAAAAATAAAAATAAAGACGGATTTAGTACCAAGGTTTCCATTTAAAACACATTCATGGGCCCTCAAACTCAAATTTGTAACTGAAGTTCTGCATAGGTCTGGTACTTGAAGCTGAGTTTTTCCTTTGTACCTTCATGAGGTTGGGACCAAGTTTAGGTTAAAGCCTGTTAATTGCTGGGATATTGCAGAGGGACTATCCTGTTCCTCTCTGAGTCTGTCTATTTACTAGTGGTTCTAAAGTTAATTACATGATGATACAGTGAATTCAAGCTCTTTTAAAAATATTACAGGATATTTAGATATCAGAATCTGAATTGCAAATTGCATTCTCAATCCTTACTTTCTCAACGTCTCCCAGGCCCTCGGTGTCAAGCAGAACAAGTGTGTGATCCTTCTTGTGGGGATGAGGCACACACCACATCCAGATCCCTTTTGTGTGAGCCTGCACGGTGGAACCCAGAGAGAATCCTGTGACACGCAGAAGAGAAGACACGGTGGATGGAGAGTTAGAAGCAGGTGTTTCAGGAAACTTATGTAAAAACGAGAACAATTTAAGTCAACAGAGCTAACTGAAACCAAACTACTATTATCTTGCAACTGGAGAAATAGCAAAAATCATAATAGCAAAAATTTGAAAATATCCCACAGTTATCATTACAAATTTTATCCAGCAAACTAGAAGAATTTCATAATGCAAATATATGAAATGCCATATATGAAAATCCATGTCAATATTATACTCAACAGTAGAAGCTAAAAAGGTTTCATATAAAATCATAAAAGAGAAAAATGTGCCCAGTTTGGACACTGGTGTCCAATACAGTACTTGAAGTGTGATTCAAAGTAATCAGGAAAAAACAGAAATAGCTGGCAGCCAAATTGGAAAGGAAGAGTAAGATTATCTTTGTAACAGATGGTATGATCTTATATGTTAAAACCTTTAAATTTCCCACAGAATAATGCAGAAGAATATCAGTTAAACCAGTATAGCTACAGCACACAAAATTATTACTGTGATTTCTATGATTAGTTCCTTTTCTACACACCAATAATGAATAGCTGAATAATAATGAATGGAAAATTAAGTAATCCCACCTATAATTCCATCTAAAGAATAAACTAATCTGGAATACACTTCATCTACAAGCTGACAAATCTACAAAGGAAAACACACACAATTATTTAAAAAATATTGCAGAAGACACAAACAATTACATGTTCCATGTTTAAAGCTTGAAGAAAACACTATTTTTAAAATACCAGTACTACATGAAATGAATGTTCATTCTCTTTTTTGACAAAGTCCTTGCTTGGTTATCAGAGCTGTGCTTGAACTAGATGATTCAAGTGATCTTCCCATCTCAGCTTCCTGAGTGCTGGGATTTCTGCTGCACACCAAAGTCCTCACACCCTTCATATTTTAGGTGTCAAATCCACGGAAACAGATTATAGAAAAGTGATGGGAAATGGGGGAATGGATTGTGGCATGAATAATAAAACCTGGAAAAAGATATTAGGGTTGAAGCTGAAGATCAGAGAAGCAAAGTGCCATCCATTAGAGAGATCTAACCTGTACTAATGCTCAGACAGAAGGGTGATTCACCGAACCTCAGACTGCTCCAGACTGCACCACTCCTCAGATTCATGCAAATAGCCTTGAGCTCCTGTCTCCTCTGGCCATATATTCATTCCTCTCTACTTCTGGGCTTAAAGGTTTGGGATCCCAAGTGCTGGGATAACCTATATGTGAGCTCTGTTTCTCTTTTAGACAGATTCAGTCTCATGTAGACCTTTGTGAACTTGATCTAACAGATCCCTCTGCCTCTCTCTCCTGAGTCCTGGGATTAAAGGTGTGTGCCACAACTTCCTGGCCTCTAGTAGCTTAACTCTGCACTCTGATCTTCAGGTGAGCTTTATTTGTTAAAACACAAACAAAATTGTCACTACAACAGTAAATTATTGTATGATGGGTACTTAGTTTGTGTTGGGAAAATATAATAAATGTATAAGTGAGATAATGTGATGATTGTATGATAATGTGAATTTTTTAATGATCTGAAACTGCAGTTTACATGGCTAGAAGAGTTAATTTTATTTATGTTATGTCTATAAATGACAATTTAATCTGAAACATTTTAAAACGTTAAAGATCCAAGAATACTCACTGTTACCTCATGAGCTTATTAATTAAAACATCATCACCAGTGTGTGTGTGTGTGTGTGTGTGTGTGTGTGTGTGTGTGTGTGTCTGATGAGTGTTTGGGTATGTGTATGTCATATCATGTGTGTGGACGTCAGAGGACAGTTCTGTAGATTTGGTTCTCTCTTTCTACTTCTTGGGTGTTGGATCCAGGTTGCCTCATGCAGCAAGGGCCTCTTCTTGGCCCAGCCTTCACTTTTCACTGACTGTCCTACAGATTAATATGTAATTTAATTACTCTTATTAATGCTTTCTCCCTTTCTGATTTTAAAATGGAATGGAAGATCCTAAAGAGTGATATGGAACTGACTGACTTCCTGAAATAGGATAAAGATTAAAAAGCCCAACTTTGAGTAGGAAATTAGGTCTCAGAATCCATCTCCTCTAACTATCCTCCTCACAACCCAGGCTCAAAGTGTGGCTGAACAGAGGGTACTCAGCCAGATATTGCTGGTGGCACTCACCGGTTTTCTTTCCGGCCAGCCTGTTCATCAGGTAGGATTTGCCAGTGCGGTAGAGCCCCACGATGGCCACCACCGCCACCGGCTGTGTGATGGCCGACAGGATCTCCAGGGCCTCATGGTTAGGCTTCAGTTGTCCTTTCACATTCTCAATGAGACACAGGGGCCCGGGCATATGGACCGTGTCCATTGGGGTTCCTTGTCTTTGAGGGAAGAGGAGGAATTAATTAGAAATTCCTTCTCTTTTCAGAAGGTTGAGGGCCACACAGCCTCCCAGCACTAACAGAAGTTGTACTGTATTGTCAAATAGGCAAGGAAGGAAAAAACTTTTTAGAGAGTTATGAAAATATTATCTAAAAAGTTGAACATAAATGGTAGTAATAATGAATTTTCAAAATTCAACTACTAGCAACTCAAATCTTCTTTCTAAGTTATCATGGGGGAATATTTCTTTTGGATTCTAGTTTCAAAATTTATGCTAGATATTGACTAGGAAAGATAATTTGTAAGTTTTTAAATTTTTTTTAAGATAATTGCATTAAATTTCCCTTTCCCTTCCTTTCCTCAAAATCCTCCCATATAACTTCCACATACAGTGTCATTCAAATCCATGGCTTCTTTTTTGCATATATATATATATATATACATATACATACATACATACATATAAATATATATACCTAAATATAACCTGTTCAGTCTACATAATGTTACTTATAGCAATGTTTTCAAAGCTCAGCTCTAAAGATGCTCAGTGTTGAACAAGACTATCTGAGCCCAGCCTCCAGGATCTATTGTTGGCAGGAGAACATTGACTCTTACAAGTTCTCCTCTGGTTTATAAACATGCTCCATGACATGTTGCACAACCCTCACACAAAGATACACAAAGTAGTAAATAGATAAGCAAAAAAATTAAAAGCTCCTTAAAAATAGAACTTCTATAAATTAGCATTAGGTGAATTTATTTTTATTTAGACTACATGCAAGAAATTCAATATGGATTTATCAGCGCATGAATTCTTTCAATGAGTGAAAACTGTAGTGGATAAATGTACCATTTTCTTCATGTTTGCACCAGGATAATTATCTGCACAGATGTTTAGTATCTGCCCCTCCCTCTGGCTCTTAGTACTGTTTCGATGGATTGATCACTGCAGGAATGCTGCTGCTCCAGGAATGAAATCAGTGTAATTTACTTGAGCATGTTTGTCATCCTGGACTAGAAACTCTTTCAAGAGCATGGTGAGTATGAAGGAGGGTCCCAGGAAGAAGAATACACGCCAATGAACCCTGTACAAAAGCCTGGCTGGCTGACAGGAACTTCAGAGACTGTGGAGCTGGGATGTTGAAGGCTCAGACCCAGGATCATATTTATTGTTCTCTTCTGTGTTTGACCCAAGATCCTCCTATCAGGTTCGATATTTTTTTGGAATGTACAGTGTCCTTACTTCCACCACCCAAAGGTTGAGAAAGTTGCCAGAGAGCAGCCGAGGCCTGTTTCACTTATGTGTTCTAAGTCACCTACCTGAAGCTTCTGGAAGTGTGTTTGAAAATGTCTTCATCTATGATTTTTCTTCTATTCTGTAATACAGTTTTATGAAACTGTTAGATTGTTGGAACCTAGTATTTGTGGTAACCTTTATCTGTGTCCTTGCAAATCTTTAGAGTTCACTGCTAACAACTCTAAATTTATCATGAGAGAATTTCCTTTTGGATTCCAATTTTAGAATTTGTTCTAGACATTGAATGGGAGTATTCAATGCCACAATATTAAGTACCAAAATAATAAATTATTCCTTTATCTGTTAAAAGTAAGAGCTGGGAATTTTTGTTTGTTTGTTTTGTTCAGCTAAGGTGTTATGTGGCAGAACAGTGCTCTGAAACTTCACTAGTTACATAGTAAGGTAACCTAAACGGAGGGAGGGGTTCTGTGTGCAACATTTTAAAATACCACAGGAAGCTCAAAACGACAGTGACAAGAAGACTAAAAATCAGGGAGCAGTTCAAGAAAAATAAGAGTTGTTGAAAGAAAATGGCTGTTTCCTGTGGCCCATTTTTTAGGCTTCCTGTTTTATTTTTATTGTTTGGTAGAAGAAAGAAAGGAGGAATGGGGAGAGCAGAGGCGTAGAGGATGCACAGGTAAGAGTTAACAATGGAGAGAGAAAATTGATGAATGAAGCAGGTCCTGGCCAGGAACTCATGGGAAGGGCTTCTAGGAACAACTTCCTGAAGGTCTGATTGGGTGGGGGTCAGGTAAACCGAGACACCGCCCCTAGTCCTGCACTGCATGGGGTTCTGTAGAGGAAGCCTTTTAAGGAAACACAACTCTGAATCCTACAAGTGAGAGGTAAGGAGTGGGTTCTAGGAATGAGAGAGGCTGCCCAGTGAGAGAGGAAATCCACTGAGAAGCCAAGTTCAGGTATGTGGTAGAAAGCATGTCATCCTGGCCTTCATCGTTTCTTCTGGGTTCCAACGTTTCCTTTCTATGTCCACAGTGTCAGTGGCTGTTAGCCCTGCATCATTTATTGTTTTATATTAGTTTTTTCACCTCTCCTCTTCATGGACACGGTGCTCGTGTAGCCTTTTCAGTCGCAGTAGGAGCAGGACAGAGCAAGTACTGTCAGTGTCCATGGTGGTTTAATAGTGTTCCCATTCAATAGGGACAACGTGAACATAGAGAAGAAAGTGCATAGTCTCAGGGTTTCCAGCTGTATTCAAGCTAGACACTGGAATGTAGGTGTTATTGAAAAATTAAAAATTAGGGCTTATGGCAAGAAGGGAAAACTAGGGAGAATCAGAATTTCTGCCAGTAGACAACTCCTGACTACAGAGTACAGAGCCCACATGCTGTTCTCAGGAGATAAAGAAAAAAAGAAAGAAAAACCCCCTAACCTTGCAGGTGTGCTAATCAATCTTGCATCCATGATGACCTTGTAAAGAAACTTTGTAGTCTACGAAATGTCTGTGACCTTGGAAACCTTGTGAACTGAGACTAGTGGTCTCCAGTCATCAAGCCTCCCTTTCCCTTTACCCATCACAATTGTAAGCAGGCGCCTTACTCTTCTGATAGAGTGAGGTCCCAGCAGGTTCAGTTCTCAGCAATAAAACCCTTGTGCTTTTGCAGTCAGGAGTCACACTTCCTTGGAGGTTGAAACCTGTAGGCACAACATTTGCGGGCTTGATAGGATTTTCCCCCAACCTCCCAGGACTCCTGACACCGAAAAGTTGAGCTCCTGGCCAGGGTGAGTGTTCTGTCTGTCTGTTATTCTGCTTAACTGTCTATCTGAAAAAAAGGTTTTCTTTCTGGTGCAGCAGTGGACATCTAAATCTGTACACAGGTTAATTACATCCCAGTGGACTCAGTAAAGGAGTCAGTCCTGGAGAATTTGGGGAAAGCCTCAAATTCTCATCTGGGCAGGTATCCAGGAGAGGGTTGGATCAACCTGCCATCAGAGGGTGAAGACGAGGTTGAGGACTGAGTCACCCTACTGGAGAGGCCACCTCCCATCTGCATTGTGTTTAGCATTATAGGCTCCCGTGGAAATGGGGTAGTTGGGCAGTCTGAATCTGGGAAAACCTAATGTATGTAAATCTCTGTGTTAGGCCCTCTGTCTTTGATGTTTATTTATGTGATGTATTTTTCTGTTGTCTCTCCCCTATAGAGATACCCCAGACAAAAGTTAACACAGGACAGACTCCTTCCTCCCCTGTGTAAAAACAAAAATTACTGCTGCAGTGGCTGCCAGGCCGGGAAGTTATAGCCTGGTGGCAATGCAGAACACCAGGGTGAACAGAACCTGGCTCCTCCCAAGCCATGCTCAGCCCCGAGCCCTGCAGGGTGGCCTAGGGCTGTGGTACATTGGGCCAGCTAGTGGGCATTTGGAGTGGAGAGGAATTCTGAATCACTAGTGGATAATGGCAGAAGCTGCCCCCATCCCTTCCCTCCTCCTTGCAGATGGCAGCACAGGTAATAGGGGTGGGGGGAACGAGGAGACGACTTTGGTAAAGATTTTTGTCAACTAAAACAATAAAACTACAGAAACCCACAGAGACAGCTGACCTGAACAAGGAGGAGCTAACGGGCCCCCAGACTGATAGCTGGGAATCCATCATGGACTGACTCAGGCCCCCCTGAATATGGGTCTCAGTTAGAAGGCCTGGGCAGTCTAAGGGACCTCAGACAGTAGAACCAGGATGTATCCCTGGTGCACAAAAGGACTTTGGGAGCACATTCTCCATGGAGTGATACTCCCTTAACCAAGAGGCAGGGGGGTGGGGGGACTAATCCCTACTACAAATGACTTCACAGATTTTGTTGATCCCTCCTGGAAGACATCCCCCTCCCTGTGGAGTTGGGGGTGGGTGGGTGGAATGGAGGGTGGTTGGGGGGGCATGGGAAAGAGGGAGGAAGTGCAGGAGGGAGGTACAGAGAGGAAACTGTGATCGATATGTAAAATAAGAAAAAAAATAAAAAAACAAAAATAAGACTAACAAAACAGATGGAAAGGGGAGATTTTTCTGGAATGGGGATGTCTGAGGAAATCAGAAAAAAAAAAAGACTAAAAATAATATAGAAAGTTATAGAGGGCCCACTGTCCCACCACTCTGGTTGAGCACTGGCACAGAAGGCGGATCCAACAATCCTGCCACCTTCTGAGCTCACTAGACCTGCCTATCCATGCGGGACCACCCTGAATCCCCACCTGCCTGATCTCTGACCCCCACTGCTGGTCCTTTGCTGGAGTTCTGGACCCCTCCCAAGATCAGCCTATCCCCCCCACCCCCCGCTACCATCCTGAGTTCCTGCCTGCTGGATCTTTGACCCCCTTCTCCAGGCCTCTGCTAGAGCCTGATCTTTGACCACCATCACCAGACCTCTGCCTGAGGAGAGACCTCCTAGAGAGCTTGGACCACCCAGAGCTATAGACATCAAACTTCTGACCCACCTAACCTCACCTGGGAAGTACCAGAGAGAGAGAGAGAGAGAGAGAGAGAGAGAGAGAGAGAGAGAGAGAGAGAGAGACCCCACCTGCATACTGGAAAAAGCTATGAGAAGACAACAATACAAGAAAACACCTAACAATAGAAAGACAAGCATGACTCCACCAGAATCTAGGGACTCTACACCAACTAGACTTGAACACTCCAAAGCAGATGAAGCAGAAGAGAACGACTTAAAATAAAATCTTCATAAAAATGATAGACACCTTCAAAGACGATGTGAGAAAATCCCTGAAAGAAAAAGAAACAAACAAACAAAACATTGGAAGAAATGAACAAATCTCTTAAAGAAAGTACAGAAAGCCAAGAAAAAAAAAACAAATAAACAGGTGAAGGAAACAGTTCAAGACTTGAAAACTGAAATATAGACAATAAAGAAAACACAAACTAAATGAATGCTGGAAATAGAAAAACTACAGACACAAGCATAACCAACAGACTAAAAGAGATGGAAGAGAGAATCTCAGGCGTTGAAGATAAATTAGAGGAAATAGATTCATCGATCAAAGTAAATCTTAAATCCAACAAATCCTTAATACAAAATATCCAGGAAATATGGGACACCATGAAAAGGCCAAACCTAAGACTAATAGGCATAGAGGAAGGTGAAGAAGCCCAGCTCAAAGGTGTAGAAAACATATTCAATAAAATCATTGAAGAAAAGTTTCCCAATCTGAAGAAGGACATGCCCATGAAAGTCCAAGAAGCATACTGAACACCAAATAGACTGGACCAAAGAAAAAAGACCCCTTGACACATAATAATCAAAACACCTAACATACAGAATAAAGGAAGAATATTAAGAGCAGTGAAGAAAAAAGGCCAGGTAACATATAAAGGCAGAGCTATCAAAATTACATCTGACTTCTCCATGGAAACTCTCAAGGCCACAAGGTCCTGGATAGATATTCTACAAGTACTAAGAGACCATGGATGCCAGCCCAGGATACTATACCCAGCAAAACTCTAAATCACTATAGACAGAGAAAACAAGATAATTTAATGACAAAGCCAGAATTTCACAATCTACAAATCCAGCCCTACAGAAAGTTCTGGAAAGAAAACTGCAACCTAAGGAAGTTAACACTTACAAAGACATAGACAATAGATAATCCCACTTCACCCAAACCCAAGGGTAAAGAAGGGAAAATATATTTACAATACCACTGTTAACAACAAATCTAAAACAAACAAGCATTAACAAACAATGGTCCTTACTCTCCCTCAACATTAATGGTCTTAAGTTGCCTATAGAAAGACACAGGCAAACAGAATGGATACAAAGACAGAATCCATCCTTCTGCTGCATACAAGAAACACATCTAAGCTTCAAAGACAGACATTACTTTAGGGTAAAGGGTTGGGAAAAGATCTTCCAATCAAATGGACCCAAGTAGAAAGCAGATGTGGCTGTCCTAATATCTAACAAGTGAGACTTCAAACCGAAATCAATCAAAAGAGATGAAGACCGTCTTTTCGTATTCATCACAGGAGAAATCCATCAGCACAAAGTCTCAATTCTAATTTCTAATGAAATAGAAGCAGTCATCAAAAGCCTTCCAAAAAAAAAAAAAAAAAAC